AATATAGTCTTCATTTGTTTATTGAAGATTCATATGATCTATTCATCGCAATGACTCATGTAAATTTACACTTTTCTTTTTACAAATTTCAATATGATTATATAGTGTACTATTCTTACCAATTGAAACATAATGACATATTTTACAAGATAATAAAGAAATGATCTTTTTAAATCACTAATATTGAATTTATCTTCTATAACTATCGAACTCAATTGAATCGAATTAGAAACTTGATGTTGGTGTTGTTGGTGCACGGAGGCAATTAGATAAATATATCTATACAACATTAAATCGACAGTTTAATTTATGTGATATTTGACGAAGGAATAAATAATCTCAGTCATTTAATGAACTTAAAAAATGAACAGGTTTTGTATAATCCACAATTTTAAATCAAATGAAAGAATATATTACAGATTTATCTGAAGAAAATATTTCTATTAATTAAATGAATAATAATTGTATTTCATTCCACTGTGTTATTAGAAGCATAATGAAATATTTATTTATCGTCTAATGAAGTAAAATACCATTTAAATGCGCAGATGTGAAACTAAAAAGAGCTTTCATGTGGTAATATTTCTCTTGGCACTTATTGAATAGAGAATATTACTGGAAAAATAAATTGAACATGCCTGGTATTTACTTTAACAATGTATTAATGTTGGTAACTGTACTATTTACTTTCATTTTTTTATTTTTTTGAAAAAGAAATAATTATAAATGTTTCTACCATTATGCAGCATATAGCATCTTTTCATTAAAACTATATTCACGATTTACAGAGATGTAATTCTATGAAATTCCAGAATTTTCATTTCTATATCTTGAAAAAATGAGCAATACTTTTTTTTCCCAGTTTTATAAACATGTTGATCAACTAACAATACAATCTAAAAGATGAATAATGTATTGAGTAGCATATTAAATATTTCCATGGATATTATTGTTCTTGAATTTGTCTAAATGAACGAAAGAAATATCTCAATATTCACTTCTTTTTTCAAATCTATTTGATACAATCAATGAAAAAATAAACTTTTGAAGAAATACGACAAGATCAAACGAAAAAAATTCATTTTATTTCTCTTTGTAACTCACTGATTGTGAACATACAAGAACGAAAAAAGAAAAAATGACAATTATAATAATCACACATGAAAGTTTTTTTGTTGATTTAACTTGCACTTCGCATTTACATTTTTAAAAGCCTCTAAAAAACGAATACAATCATTTCTCATCAAATAATAGCTTTCTCGTCGACAAACTTTCTTTTCGCGGAATGATTTTGAATTGATAGAAGTTATATGGATACTGCCGATAATAGCTTCTTATTTTTACAGTTATACCAAGAGCAATACTTTGTGTCTTAAACACATCCCTACCGGTGCTTAAAACTACAGTCTATGAGTATAAGCAAAAGAAAACATGTATACAATCTATTCTTAATATGAGATAGGATGTGTCTACTAATTCTACAGTGTGCACAAAATAATTTCTATTGTTACGAATTGCTCTCAATAGATCTTAAGCAAGACATTCTTATAGAATACATAATTTAACTGAAATATTGTTGATAATATTCTTATCTATTAAATTATATTTATCGTGCGCAAGATTATAGTAATATATCCATAATTTAGTTCATTTTTCATCAATTATTATCAAAATTTGTAAAATACAAGGTCATTGTCAACACTGTAGTTTGTAATTTAAAAATATCCTTGAAACTTATTTTTCTTCTGGTTGAATGATCCAGTGCCTATAAAATTATTAATGTGCAATTGTTGTAAACCTCACTGATGAATCAACAAGATGATGAATGATAGAGAGAGAAAAACAAAATTCGCTGAAAAAAATGGCATCTACGCAGTGACATACTGAAATAAATGCGCAGACGTAAATAAGAGAAAGTTGGAAAGAAAAACAACCAATTAAAATGCCTAGCTGGTTTTTTTGTGTTTTGTTTGTTCGAAGTTGATCAAGGGTGTGGGTCAGAGTGTTTTATCACCTACAACAGGCACCCACAACCACATCCACACCCAACCTCGAGGATCAAGCGAGTCACTCTCGACGAGCGTTATTTATAATATAAAGATATTTTTAATTTCAATGGACTCTCTCTTTTCTGCAATAATATTTTTACAAAAAAGAAATTCATTCACACTTTATAAATAATCAAAATTCTGCTGGGATAGATCAATACTACAAATAAAACTTATTGAATAAAAATATTGTTTTTTGGTTCTATGTATTACTTATCCATTTGGTCTGCCATATACATACAAAACTAGAATTAAATGTATATATACCTATATATAATAATGAAAATACCTTACTTCATCAAAGATAATATAACCACTATGATTTCTATCAATTGAATTAAATTTTAGCTGTAATAGTTGCGTATTTAAATTAAGTAACTCATGACCTTTTATAAATTCATTAATACTTATTTGATGATCATCATTTACATCTATTTGTTGAAATAATTTTTTTAATTCATCATAACGATTAAGCCAACGAATTAATGTTGAAAATTCATTAAATTCAATACTACCATCCTTAAGAAAAAAAAATGTTTTTTATTAATTAATTGTTATTTCTTCTTACTCCACTTTTATCAGCATTTTTAAAAGCTCGTTTTATGGCATTTTTATGTTTAATAATATGTGGATAATGTTCGTTGATAGCTGTTAGAATTTCTGCTAATGATAATTTTCCATCTCCATTATCAAATGTATTGAATAACTAAATTTTATTTTAATAATAAAATAAATTTATTGATAATTACTTACTTTTTTTAATTCTTTTTCATTAAGATTTTTTGACATATTAGAATAATTTTATCGTTAAATTTTTACTTCTAATAACGAAAAACTATTGTATAAATAGTCAACGAAATGTTGATTCTGAGAAAAAGCTTATTTATTTTAGAAATAAAGAATAGATGAATTATTTTTATGCGTCATTTTCATTTTAATACAAACAACATAGTAAGAAAAAAAACCCATCGTTAACAGTTTGTTATTTAAATAATCCTTGTTTTTGTGGGAGAATTCACACGAATAATAAAGACGGCAGAAATATCCGTGTTGACACGGCGCGGTGCGGCAGTTTAGAAAAACAGAGAACCATCTTGAGG